TTTTGGTAGCAGTCTTTCCTGTAGACATATATTATTAAATATGACCGAAAAAGTAAGATTAATAATTCTAACACGAATTTTCTCAATCTTTCGTACATTACGCTTCACTGTTGGAGGTAAATCAAAAATCACTTCTCCAAAATTCATTTTTATTTCTAGTCTGACGCGACACGGGCGCGTTTCGTAAAACTTATTACATTTTCAAAGACTTCACAAATACACAACTGATTAGAACTTACGCATCTCTGCTATTATATCTACATTTGAGTGAGGTGGGAGGGATGATGTGGCATATAGTGATGTGGCATTAACACAAGACAGAACATGAGGGGATATTAATAGGGTATTAAAAGTATCAACACAAGACAGAACAGAAACAATGGGTATTGAATAGAAGTGTTTGTAGAAAGCCTATTGGTCCATATTTCTTGATGCTTCTATATTGGAGCGGAGTCTTGAGGTGGGTAGAATATAGTTGTGCAATAATTGGCTGTTGATTGCTGGTGTTGACTTCTTGATGTGTAGTGCCTCGCAAACGTCAAGCCGCCTGCTATCGCTGTATCTATCGATGATTTCTGTGTTGTTTACTAGGATTTCTCTGGCGATGGTTTGGTTATGGGAAGAGATTATATGTTCCTTAATGGAGCCCTGTTGCTTATGCATCGTTAAACGCCTAGAAAGAGATGTTGTTGTCTTGCCTATATACTGGGTTTTTTGGAGCTTACAGTCCCCAAGTGGGCATTTGAAGGCATAGACGACGTTAGTCTCTTTTAAAGCGTTCTGTTTTGTGTCTGGAGAGTTTCTCATGAGTAGGCTGGCCGTTTTTCTGGTTTTATAGTAAATCGTCAGTTGTATCCTCTGATTTTTGTCTGTAGGGATAACGTTCCTATTAACAATATCTTTCAGGACCCTTTCCTCCGTTTTATGAGCTGTGGAAAAGAAGTTCCTGTAAAATAGTCTAATAGGGGGTATAGGTGTTGTGTTAGTTGTCTCTTCAGAGGTTGCATGGCTTTTCACTTTCCTTCTTATGATGTCTTCGATGAAACCATTGGAGAAGCCGTTATTGACTAGAACCTGCCTTACCCTACAGAGCTCTTCGTCGACTTGCTTCCATTCTGAGCTGTGGCTGAGAGCACGGTCGACGTATGCGTTAACAACACTCCTCTTGTACCTGTCAGGGCAGTCGCTGTTGGCATTTAGGCACATTCCTATGTTTGTTTCCTTAGTGTAGACTGCAGTGTGGAAACCTCCGCCCTTTTCCATGACTGTTACATCTAGAAAAGGCAGCTTCCCATCCTTTTCCGTCTCGTAAGTGAAACGCAGCACGGAACTCTGCTCAAATGCCTCCTTCAGCTCCTGCAGATGTCTGACATCAGGTACCTGTGTAAAAATGTCGTCAACATACCTGCAGTATATGGCCGGTTTCAAGTTCATGTCGACTAAGACTTTTTGCTCGATGGTACCCATGTAGAAGTTTGCAAACAGGACACCTAGGGGAGAACCCATGGCGACCCCATCTACTTGCTTATACATGTGCCCATCCGGGCTCAAGAAGGGTGCCTCTTTAGTACAAGCTTGGAGTAGTTTCCTCAGAATACTTTCTGGCATGTCAAGAGGAGTACAGGCTGGATCACGATACACTCTGTCGGCTATCATTCCGATTGTCTCGTCCACAGGTACGTTGGTAAACAGCGATTCTACGTCCAACGAGGCTCTTATCCCTGTGGCCCGTGTGCCCCGCAGTAAGTCCACAAATTCCTTTGGAGACTTCAGGCTGAAGGCGCAAGGAACATAAGGAGTCAGCAGGCCGTTGAGTCGCTTCGCCAGTCTGTACGTGGGTGTGGGTATCTGGCTAATGATTGGCCGAAGTGGGTTTCCAGGCTTGTGCGTCTTGACATTTCCATACGCATATCCAGGTTTATATTCCCCAATGATCTTTGGCAGGTGGAGTCCGGATTTCTTGGCGTTCACAGTTTCGATCAGTTTGTTGACCTTTGCTTTTAATTCGGCTGTAGTGTCCTTCGTTACCCTTTGGAACTTAGTTTGGTCAGAGAGTATGATGTTCATTTTCGCCAGATATTCGTCTTTTTTAAGAATGACATATATTGGCGACTTGTCACCTCTCCTGACAACTATCTCCTTGTTCTCACGAAGGCTTTTAGCTGCCGCTTTAAGCTCGGGGGACAGTATGGTGCTTCTGTAGTTGCCTCGATTCTTTCCTCCTTCTGCAATAAGTTCTGCTTGTAAGGTATCTTTGGTAGTGAGCTTCTTTTGTGTCTCGAGGTCGAATATGTCGTCCAACAGAATTTCCAACTCTACTTTCCGGGCCATTTCACTCGGTCTGGACATAACATGACAGTTTATGCCCAGATTTAGGAGAGTGACTTGGTCCTCAGTGAGGTTAATTCCTGCAAGGTTCAGGAAGCCATCTCTTGGTCGTGGAATTGCCATAGGTCCTCCATATAATGTTGTTAGTTTCTTGATAATCCTTGTTTTAGTGCTGAGGTGATGTTGGTTTGTGAGGATGTCGAGGTGTTGTTCAATGCGGGTACGGATACTATTGTCGATGTTGCTATTTCTCCACTCGTTTGTAGCTGGAGGTTTCCACACTGCAGTCTACACTAAGGAAACAAACATAGGAATGTGCCTAAATGCCAACAGCGACTGCCCTGACAGGTACAAGAGGAGTGTTGTTAACGCATACGTCGACCGTGCTCTCAGCCACAGCTCAGAATGGAAGCAAGTCGACGAAGAGCTCTGTAGGGTAAGGCAGGTTCTAGTCAATAACGGCTTCTCCAATGGTTTCATCGAAGACATCATACGAAGGAAAGTGAAAAGCCATGCAACCTCTGAAGAGACAACTAACACAACACCTATACCCCCTATTAGACTATTTTACAGGAACTTCTTTTCCACAGCTCATAAAACGGAGGAAAGGGTCCTGAAAGATATTGTTAATAGGAACGTTATCCCTACAGACAAAAATCAGAGGATACAACTGACGATTTACTATAAAACCAGAAAAACGGCCAGCCTACTCATGAGAAACTCTCCAGACACAAAACAGAACGCTTTAAAAGAGACTAACGTCGTCTATGCCTTCAAATGCCCACTTGGGGACTGTAAGCTCCAAAAAACCCAGTATATAGGCAAGACAACAACATCTCTTTCTAGGCGTTTAACGATGCATAAGCAACAGGGCTCCATTAAGGAACATATAATCTCTTCCCATAACCAAACCATCGCCAGAGAAATCCTAGTAAACAACACAGAAATCATCGATAGATACAGCGATAGCAGGCGGCTTGACGTTTGCGAGGCAATACACATCAAGAAGTCAACACCAGCAATCAACAGCCAATTATTGCACAACTATATTCTACCCACCTCAAGACTCCGCTCCGATATAGAAGCATCAAGAAATATGGACCAATAGGCTTTCTACAAACACTTCTATTCAATACCCATTGTTTCTGTTCTGTCTTGTGTTGATACTTTTAATACCCTATTAATATCCCCTCATGTCTGTCTTGTGTTAATGCCACATCACTATATGCCACATCATCCCTCCCACCTCACTCAAATGTAGATATAATAGCAGAGATGCGTAAGTTCTAATCAGTTGTGTATTTGTGAAGTCTTTGAAAATGTAATAAGTTCTACGAAACGCGCCCGTGTCGCGTCAGACTAGAAATAAAAATGAATTTTGGAGAAGTGATTTTTGATTTACCTCCAACAGTGAAGCGTAATGTACGAAAGATTGAGAAAATTCGTGTTAGAATTATTAATCTTACTTTTTCGGTCATATTTAATAATATATATATATATATATATATATATATATATATATATATATATATATATATATATATATATATATATATATATATATATATATATATTATATATATATGCACTAACTTGCCTGAACCACAAGTTTGAAGTTAAATAACTTTAGAGACAGAAATCCACCAGGAGACTCGAACCCTTGCCAGCACAGATGCTTCTCAACAACTGGCATGGCAGGTACACATTAAACCCACTGCACCAACCTCAGAGCCATAAAAGAGATGGAAATTTCGGGGTATTTAAGCCCCAGATATCCCCCACCTCCCAAGACCACCAGAGCAGGTGAGAGGTCACTCACGCTTTCCATCAAGTACCTGTTAATATGGAAGAACACGGTGCCTATGCTTTATCCACTAACTTCCCCCCCCCCCCTACTCCCCCCATACCCCCCTTTGGAAATTGTCCGACTGTTTTGACCACAAAAGCAATTGTTTGGATTAAAATTGCTGTAAAGTGTAGGAGCTTTAACCATATGATTGGTGTTGAATCCTGTGGTGGTGGCGAAGAGAGCACTTACCTCACATCATCACACCTGCTGCACTATACATGCCGTCATTCACCACTCAACGTTATATGCTCTCATATGATCACATAGATGAAAGGTAAGTATTCACTCATCTAGACATAACTATATTTTGTTGGTGGCATAAAACTTAACATTTATGCTCGAAACTGGCTTGTGTTGAAGTTAGAAATAGTGTGCATTCCATGTGAGAGGCTCTGTGCTTCGTTACCCTTCACTGCAACCCGTCCTCGACTTAAGTCCATTCCATCCAGCGATCGACCCCACAGACACATTCATCAATTTTTACATGCTGTTCATTCAAAACTGGAATTATCTCAAATATAAATTAATACTATAATATATTAGCATATTGTGCATATATAGGCATAAGCTAGGTTAGTTTAGGTGTTTAGGTTCTGTTGGCGATTATTTGTATTTGTAGTACGTGGGTGAAGCATTTACAGCGTTGTGGTTCGAACAAAATTCGTCAGTGAAGCACTTGTTCAGGAAGTGTTCGAACGTCATCAGTTGTGAGTCGTGTGTGAACCGTTTTTCATTCATAAACACCTTGGATGTTGGCGGGTGCATGGAATCACTTTTGGGTCTTTGATGGCTCTGTGCTTCGTTACCGTTGACTGACAGGCTGTCAACATATCCCCGCCCCTTCATTCATGACGCCAGGCTGGCGCCCAGCGCGGGAGTGCCTATCACCTTCACCACGGCGACGTGCACTACCACCTTCACCACGGCGACGTGCACTACCACCTTCACCACGGCGGCGTGCACTACCACCTTCACCACGGCGACGTGCACTACCACCTTCACCACGGCGACGTGCACTACCACCTTCACCACGGCGGCGTGCACTACCACCTTCACCACGGCGACGTGCACTACCACCTTCACCACGGCGGCCGCCTGCGGTAACAGCCATGTTCCTGCCGGCGGTGAGGGAGACTCCTGCACGCCTGGCGGCCCTCCGCCACCACGCTGTGCCTGAGGACATTCCTCCGTGTGGTGTTTGTGGCGTCACTTAGCAGCCAGCAAGTGTATGGTGTGGTGGCCGCATCGATCCTCACCACTCACATATTGTACAACATGGTGCGACACCACACCACGCGGGCCATGACAGGCTTACCCCGGAGGCTCTTCTCTCCTGCCTCCACCACACTGCTAAATGGAAGACGAACTCCAGCTGTTAATTAAGGGGCAGCAATGGGACCGACCCCGCCCCCCTACAACCACACACCCACCCATATTAACCCAGCACAGTGGGGTCAAGCCAACTATTTCACACTGCCAGTGTGTTTTACACTGCCAGGCTACTTTACACTGCCAAGCTAAGCTACTTTATACTGCCAGGCTACTTTATACTGCCAGGCTACTTTACACTACCAGGCTACTTTGCACTGCCAGGCTACTTTACACTGCCAGGCTACTTTACACTGCCAGGCTACTGTACACTGCCAGGCTACTTTATACTGCCAGGCTACTTTATACTGCCAGGCTACTTTATACTGCCAGGCTACTTTACACTGCCAGGCTACTTTATACTGCCAGGCTACTTTATACTGCCAGGCTACTTTATACTGCCAGGCTACTTTATGCTGCCAGGCTACTTTATACTGCCAGGCTACTTTATACTGCCAGGCTACTTTATACTGCCAGGCTACTTTACACTACCAGGCTACTTTGCACTGCCAGGCTACTTTACACTGCCAGGCTACTTTACACTGCCAGGCTACTGTACACTGCCAGGCTACTTTATACTGCCAGGCTACTTTATACTGCCAGGCTACTTTATACTGCCAGGCTACTTTACACTGCCAGGCTACTTTATGCTGCCAGGCTACTTTATACTGCCAGGCTACTTTACACTGCCAGGCTACTTTATGCTGCCAGGCTACTTTATACTGCCAGGCTACTTTATACTGCCAGGCTACTTTATACTGCCAGGCTACTTTATACTGCCAGGCTACTGTACACTGCCAGGCTACTTTACACTGCCAGGCTACTTTATACTGCCAGGCTACTTTACACTGCCAGGCTACTGTACACTGCAAGGCTACTTGACACTGCCAGGCTACTTTATACTGCCAGGCTACTTTATACTGCCAGGCTACTGTACACTGCCAGGCTACTTTACACTGCCAGGCTACTTTACACTGCCAGGCTACTTTATACTGCCAGGCTACTTTACACTGCCAGGCTACTTTATACTGCCAGGCTACTTTATACTGCCAGGCTACTTTATACTGCCAGGCTACTTTATACTGCCAGGCTACTTTATACTGCCTGGCTACTTTATACTGCCAGGCTACTTTATACTGCCAGGCTACTTTACACTGCCAGGTTACTTTATACTGCCAGGCTACTTTACACTGCCAGGCTACTTTATGCTGCCAGGCTACTTTATACTGCCAGGCTACTTTATACTGCCAGGCTACTTTATACTGCCAGGCTACTTTACACTGCCAGGCTACTTTATGCTGCCAGGCTACTTTATACTGCCAGGCTACTTTACACTGCCAGGCTACTTTATACTGCCAGGCTACTTTATACTGCCAGGCTACTTTATACTGCCAGGCTATATACTTTATACTGCCAGGCTACTTTATACTGCCTGGCTACTTTATACTGCCAGGCTACTTTATACTGCCAGGCTACTTTATACTGCCTGGCTACTTTATACTGCCAGGCTACTTTACACTGCCAGGCTACTTTATACTGCCAGGCTACTTTACACTGCCAGGCTACTTTATACTGCCAGGCTACTTTATACTGCCAGGCTACTTTATACTGCCAGGCTACTTTATACTGCCTGGCTACTTTATACTGCCAGGCTACTTTATACTGCCAGGCTACTTTACACTGCCAGGCTACTTTATATTGCCAGGCTACTTTACACTGCCAGGCTACTTTATGCTGCCAGGCTACTTTATACTGCCAGGCTACTTTATACTGCCAGGCTACTTTATACTGCCAGGCTACTTTACACTGCCAGGCTACTTTACACTGCCAGGCTACTTTATACTGCCAGGCTACTTTATACTGCCAGGCTACTTTACACTGCCAGGCTACTTTATACTGCCAGGCTACTGTACACTGCCAGGCTACTGTACACTGCCAGGCTACTTTACACTGCCAGGCTACTTTATACTGCCAGGCTACTTTATACTGCCAGGCTACTGTACACTGCCAGGCTACTTTAAACTGCCAGGCTACTTTATACTGCCAGGCTACTTTATACTGCCAGGCTACTTTATACTGCCAGGCTACTGTACACTGCCAGGCTACTTTATACTGCCAGGCTACTTTATACTGCCAGGCTACTTTATACTGCCAGGCTACTTTATACTGCCAGGCTACTGTACACTGCCAGGCTACTTTATACTGCCAGGCTACTTTATACTGCCAGGCTACTTTATACTGCCAGGCTAATTTATACTGCCAGGCTACTGTACACTGCCAGGCTACTTTACACTGCCAGGCTACTTTACACTGCCAGGCTACTTTATACTGCCAGGCTACTTTACACTGCCAGGCTACTTTATACTGCCAGGCTACTGTACACTGCCAGGCTACTTTACACTGCCACGCTACTTTACACTGCCAGGCTACTTTATACTGCCAGGCTACTGTACACTGCCAGGCTACTTTATACTGCCAGGCTACTGTACACTGCCAGGCTATTTTACACTGCCAGGCTACTTTATGCTGCCAGGCTACTTTATACTGCCAGGCTACTTTACACTGCCAGGCTACTTTATACTGCCAGGCTACTTTATACTGCCAGGCTACTTTATACTGCCAGGCTATATACTTTATACTGCCAGGCTACTTTATACTGCCTGGCTACTTTATACTGCCAGGCTACTTTATACTGCCAGGCTACTTTATACTGCCTGGCTACTTTATACTGCCAGGCTACTTTACACTGCCAGGCTACTTTATACTGCCAGGCTACTTTACACTGCCAGGCTACTTTATACTGCCAGGCTACTTTATACTGCCAGGCTACTTTATACTGCCAGGCTACTTTATACTGCCTGGCTACTTTATACTGCCAGGCTACTTTATACTGCCAGGCTACTTTACACTGCCAGGCTACTTTATATTGCCAGGCTACTTTACACTGCCAGGCTACTTTATGCTGCCAGGCTACTTTATACTGCCAGGCTACTTTATACTGCCAGGCTACTTTATACTGCCAGGCTACTTTACACTGCCAGGCTACTTTACACTGCCAGGCTACTTTATACTGCCAGGCTACTTTATACTGCCAGGCTACTTTACACTGCCAGGCTACTTTATACTGCCAGGCTACTGTACACTGCCAGGCTACTGTACACTGCCAGGCTACTTTACACTGCCAGGCTACTTTATACTGCCAGGCTACTTTATACTGCCAGGCTACTGTACACTGCCAGGCTACTTTAAACTGCCAGGCTACTTTATACTGCCAGGCTACTTTATACTGCCAGGCTACTTTATACTGCCAGGCTACTGTACACTGCCAGGCTACTTTATACTGCCAGGCTACTTTATACTGCCAGGCTACTTTATACTGCCAGGCTACTTTATACTGCCAGGCTACTGTACACTGCCAGGCTACTTTATACTGCCAGGCTACTTTATACTGCCAGGCTACTTTATACTGCCAGGCTAATTTATACTGCCAGGCTACTGTACACTGCCAGGCTACTTTACACTGCCAGGCTACTTTACACTGCCAGGCTACTTTATAAGGCCAGGCTACTTTACACTGCCAGGCTACTTTATACTGCCAGGCTACTGTACACTGCCAGGCTACTTTACACTGCCAGGCTACTTTACACTGCCAGGCTACTTTATACTGCCAGGCTACTGTACACTGCCAGGCTACTTTATACTGCCAGGCTACTGTACACTGCCAGGCTATTTTACACTGCCAGGCTACTTTACACTGCCAGGCTACTGTACACTGCCAGGCTACAGTATACTGCCAGGCTACTGTACACTGCCAGGCTACTTTACACTGCCAGGCTACTGTACACTGCCAGGCTACTGTACACTGCCAGGCTACTTTATACTGCCAGGCTACTGTACACTGCCAGGCTACTTTACACTGTCAGGCTACTTTATACTGCCAGGCTACTTTATACTGCCAGGCTACTTTATACTGCCAGGCTACTTTATACTGCCAGGCTACTTTATACTGCCAGGCTACTTTATACTGCCAGGCTACTATATACTGCCAGGCTACTTTATACTGCCAGACTACTTTATACTGCCAGGCTACTTTACACTGCCAGGCTACTTTACACTGCCAGGCTACTTTACACTACCAGGCTACTTTGCACTGCCAGGCTACTTTACACTGCCAGGCTACTTTACACTGCCAGGCTACTGTACACTGCCAGGCTACTTTATACTGCCAGGCTACTTTATACTGCCAGGCTACTTTATACTGCCAGGCTACTTTACACTGCCATGCTACTTTATGCTGCCAGGCTACTTTATACTGCCAGGCTACTTTACACTGCCAGGCTACTTTATGCTGCCAGGCTACTTTATACTGCCAGGCTACTTTATACTGCCTGGCTACTTTATACTGCCAGGCTACTTTACACTACCAGGCTACTTTGCACTGCCAGGCTACTTTACACTGCCAGGCTACTTTACACTGCCAGGCTACTGTACACTGCCAGGCTACTTTATACTGCCAGGCTACTTTATACTGCCAGGCTACTTTATACTGCCAGGCTACTTTACACTGCCAGGCTACTTTATGCTGCCAGGCTACTTTATACTGCCAGGCTACTTTACACTGCCAGGCTACTTTATGCTGCCAGGCTACTTTATACTGCCAGGCTACTTTATACTGCCAGGCTACTTTATACTGCCAGGCTACTTTATACTGCCAGGCTACTGTACACTGCCAGGCTACTTTACACTGCCAGGCTACTTTATACTGCCAGGCTACTTTACACTGCCAGGCTACTGTACACTGCAAGGCTACTTGAC